TTCAAAATTGATTAGCCTACTCTTCAGCTCCGCTTTCGCATCAAGCCTTAACAATGTGACGCAAACAATTCCACGCCACCAAGCTTGTCAAACAACATTTATTATAGGGTATCTCAGGAAAAAAAAAGAAAAAGAAAAAAAGAAGTTAAAATAAGAATATGGAAAGTTTTACAAATTCTGGAGAAAAAATAAACATGAATGAGGAGCTGAGAGAGAATAAAAAGAGGTAAGATAAATATATAAATCTTTTGACCCCTATTAAATTTCTATTGGTTAAGGGTCTAATAATCAGTACAAATAAAAATTTTAAGGAGGTTATAATATAAAGAAAAAAAAAATTAGAGCCTTTCTATTGGGGAGTTTAATAATAAGAAGGAAATAATATTTTTAAGAAGGTTATAATATAAATAATAATTTTTTTTGAAAGTTATAATATAATGAAATACAAATTTTGGGGCCTTTATATTGGCTGGAGTGATAATGAAAGGAAATAAAAATTTTAGGAAGGATATAATATAAAAATAATGAAATATATATATATATATATAATTAATGTAAGAACAATTTTTTTTTTTTTTTTTTTTTGGTAAATAACAATCAAAATAACTTAGATAATTTATGTCTAAAAATATTTGGGTCACCGGATTGGGTGTGGGTTTACTTACCTATTTAATATCTAACTTGTTTATAACCCATTATAAATAGACGGATAATGGGTTTTGACTTATTATTGACTTCCCTATTTATGACTAGCCCAAAATTCATCCAAACTCTCCCGATTGTCATTTCTAATTGACAGAATCCAAAGTTAGATCATTACCTGCCGGCCCAAGTCGGTTTGATGTCGGGTTGGGCCTGCCTAACACCCCTACTTTCAATGTGTATCTACTGTTTTTTTTTTTTTTTTTTTTTTTTTTCTCCCCAATATGTATCTACAATTTACAATTCACTTATTTACATTAAAAAAAAAAGAAAAAAAAAAAAAGTATTCTCTTTGCATCATGGGATGTTACAAAATAAGGCAAACTACAATGACCTCCCCTGAGGTTTGAACTATATACAAGTAGACCTGCGGTTTGCCATTTTGTTGCAAAGACCCCCCAATGTCAGATTTTGCAGTAAATTTACTTATCTACCCTTATTATTATATTATTAAAAAATTAAAATATTTAGAAATGACAAATCACCATTTTGCCCACTCTCTATCCCCTTATCTCAGAGTGTTTCCGCTACTCAAATTCTCGTCGACGCTGATGATTGTGCGGTGAATGGGATAGACGGAATCGGCGGTGAACTGCGGCCGTGAGCTTGCGGATTGGAAGAAGCTTGGCTGTGAGCTTGAGGATTGGGAGAAGCTCGGCTGTGGAGAGAAGTGTGATATGGCTGGCGAATCTGGCGGGTGGTGCAGCGACGGTGACGAACCGGCGAAGATGAAGATGGGCTCGGCTGAGTCGGCTCAGATGTTTCGACTGTAATTGATGGCGGGCGGTGGTGAAAAATTCACGATGAGCAAGGATCTGGGCACGGTGATGGCTGCCGTGACTGGTTCGGAAGCTCAGCGGCGGTGACGGACTGCCCTCCAACCACCACCTACCATCGCCACCTCCAACACGCCGACCCGTTTTTACCACCAACCACCATCACCGCTACCACCCAATTTGAGACCCATGTCACCGCCATCCCCACCACTTTTTCCATCTGATCTTAATCGAACCTATGAATAATACAATCAAACCACGATTAAACCCAATTCGCCGGAATCGCGGCTGATTCATAGTCTCGTCACCGGAATTGCAACGGATTCACAGTCCTCACCGTTGTTTTATTCCCGCTACTAGTCGCCATCGCATACCACACCGCCTTCTCCCATCCGGACTCGGTCTCCAAGGCCGCCGCCTCCCGCGTTTGCAACAACTTCAAATTATAAAAAAACCCAGAAAGTAACAGTGAATAAAATAAAATTAAAAATTAAATTATAGAAATATATATAGACAGAGAGAATCATGAATCTATATATCTATCTGACCTTGGGATTTAAGAACAAACAGAACTCCGGTGTCGAGCTCTTTGGCAGAGCTAACGGCACCATTTTCTTTATTTCTCGGGAACAATCCATCTTCAGAGTTGGGAGCAAGAGTAGTTTCCATCCCCATATGTGTGTGTGAGAGAGACAGACAGAAAGAGGTTTATGAACAATAACAGATCTGTTTCTGGGTTTGAGGATAATACGAAAGTGGTGAAGGTGGGCTAGAGAGAGACAATGGTGAGTCGGTTTAAGGGTAGTTTGGTCCATTTAATATGAATTTTATTTTCATTTGTTTATATTACAAGGGTAATAGCGTCTTTTTACGTTGTTGATGGGCATTTTAGTCACTTCAAACAAATTTTTTGATAAAAAATATTATTTATTGTACAGAAGGGAGGTCATTGCAAAATATTGAAAATCTCAGGGGATTACATTGCAACAAAATGGCAAACCTCAGGATTAGTTGCAATTAGTCCAAATCTCAGGGGAGGTCATTGTAGTTTGCCCAAAAAATAAGGGGGTCTACTGAAGTTTTGTCCAATGAGCCTCGTCTTTATTCTTCACGTCAAAATTCTTGTATCTACAATGTAATTGCTGAGGTTTAAAAAAAAATGTAACTGCTGCCTTCTTGTACCTGTTTGTGGATATGGATATTTGAATTAAAATTTACAGTTTTAGTTAAAAATGGCATCCTGAACCTCCATTACCTTAAGAAAAAAAAGTTTCCAGCTCACTGTGAAAATGAGCAATTGTTTTCTTTTTCGGTCTCTTGATTTAACACGTAGGTAAGAACCGTAATGTAAGATAGCAGGCAGTTTTGAGCAAATGAAAAATTCTTCTTGTAGATGGATATAAATTTGAGTCTTAAAATTATCCGCTCCGTGATTGATTGAGATAACACAGTACTGAGATCACAAAAGTAAATATAGGAGCGTATCTATCTATTTTAAACAGTATTTTAATGCTTTTTGGTCACTTTTGTCTTCCCCGACAATGTGCCCCAAATAGAAGTCTTCGAGTCCACACTTACTGTATTATATAAAAATGTAGAGAGGGATGTTAGCGTCGTCTAAGGCGATTGTGACTTCTGTTGCTTTTTATTTTTCTTTTGTTGAGCCGCACTCATTTTAATTTTATTTATTTATTTTTTTGCTGTTTCTTTGTCGGTTCTTCTTCTCTCTCCCCCAACTTTCTCTCCACGTCTAAGTCGTCAGAGTCAAACAAAATGAGTGCGACTTAATAAACGAAAAGACTGTTCGCTACGTCGCTAGCATCCCTCTAAAATATATGTCGTTTAAGTAAGAAAGGGAGACTGGTATTATTATCATTGACTTGGGACATTACCGACTCCCATGTAAATCTATGTCCCGACTCCCATGTTCTAAATCAAGCCTAACCCTCCAGAGCAACCGCGTTATATAAGAGAAAAACCTATTTATCACTATATCACTAACCCACCGTCTCTCTCTTTATTATGTCCAGATCATCCGATCGTGAGTGCGCTCGTGATTGCGGTATCCTCATCGGGAAATGGATCGGTACTATAATCTTCACCACCATCACGGCCGCCATAGTCTTCTTTGTCATTATCAAAGGCAAAGATATCAAGATCCACGTTACTGATGCTACGCTCGCCGATTTCAACCTCAACACCACCACCAACACCCTCTACTACAACCTCGCACTCAATATAACCATCAGCAACCCTAACAAGCACATCAGCGAAGACTTAAAGCGCATCGAAGCTAGGGCTTACTACGAGGATAAGATGTTTGATGCCGTGACTATGACACCATTTTCTCTGGGTCACAAGAAGAACTACACGTTGAGTCCGGTATTTAAAGGGCAGAACATCGTAATGCTTGGAAGTTCGGAGCTTGCTCAATATAATTCCGATAAAAGTTCTGGAATATACCATATTGCTGTGAAGCTCCATCTTCGGAGTACGGAAAAGACGAGTGGGATGTACCCTAACACCAGTAAATCCGTGGTTAAGTGTGACTTCAAGGTTCCATCGCTTTCTGGCACAATATCTGCTACTTTTCAGGCTTTTAAGTGCTCTCTTTTTTAGTTTTGTGATTCTTTCTCACTTTCTATTTTAATCTGTGTTACGTCTTTCTTGTGTACAAATAAAAATCTTCTCTCTCTTGTTTCACGGATTGATACTTCGGTTAATTTCTTTAAGCGGGTTATGCTTTTCTTTTTCTTTTTTGACAGTGATGATTTTGGAGATTAGTATTATGTTATAGGGAGTATTTAGTATCATGACAAATCTAGATCGTATGAATAGTTCATTTTATTTTATTTGCTTTTGCAAGTGTAGTCAATTTAGTGTGTTTTTTTTTATTTTTTTTGTGATTCTTTATTTGTTTTTATATATTTAATTGTTGGTCTTCGTTTTCCCTAGTCATTGTATTTAGATAAGATATATTTGACTAGGTAGTCAACTTCAATAAATTATAGTGACACATGACTTACTTTTATTATTATTATTATTATTATTATTGCCAATTGATGAGGTTACTAGAGTGAAAAAACAATTCCACTTCAAACACAATTCAATCGGATTCTTATGAATTGATAAAAATTGAATTCATGATATAAGCACGGTTTTGTTTTTGGACTTTTATCTCAAAAGGCCTCGTACCAATTGGAGTGACACACCTACATATATATACTTCACCTTTTCCTTACTCAGGCGATGTGGGATTATGCACCTGTAACTCACTAGTGTGGTAGCTTGAGAGTGTTTCGCACCCGCCCAAGGTACACCCGCTCACAGAGTCAATACAACGAGTGCACAATTCCACATTGTCTGGAAAAGGAAAAGATGAAATGCTTATATGTAAGTATATCACTCTAATTGGTATGAGACCTTTTGGGATAAAAGCCCAAGAGCAAAACCTCGCGTCTATATATTTATTTTTATGTAACTATTTCACTTTGTTATTTTTATTCTAAAATAATTCAAAAATAATTAAATTTTTAGTTATCATTGCTTTGATTAAATAAATTTTATGAAGTGGTAAATATACTTCATATGGAAAAGGCCAGTCAAAATATGAACAAAAACAAAGGGCTATGACTAAAGCCCAACCCAAAACCTAGATGGCCATACCAAAAGCCCACCCCAATCCACAATTCGTCCAAGAGACAAAAGACAATTTACAGTATTATGGTCTAGAAAATTAACCCTAGGCAAAGTTACTAAACATTCTAAAAGAGAGGAAAAGCCTCCAACGCTCAATCCTGCTCCGATGGATGAGTCTCCTTGTGAAGACAAAGTCACTCGCATGGAAAGCAGCCTTTTCCAGATCCGCTTGATAACAGTGATAACAGTGAAGAGGAAGGTATGTACTCTTCAATGATCTACAAATCATAATACTCAAACCTCAATCTGGTGAGTATTAGTTTGTTAGTTGAATTCTGCATATTTCGACCTCTCCAATGGTGCGATGCTCAGCTGATGAAGTTCTCCCAAGGAAGATGAGCGACCTGAAATCTGCATTTGCATGGCAAGAAAGCCCAAATCGGTCTAGTAAAGGGGCAAGAGCTGCAAGGGAAGAACAAATATGATTATGCCACTACAAGAAAAACAGCTTTTTACCAAGGTGGAAAACGTTTTCTACCACGATTTTGAACCGTAGTAAAAACTGCCGTGGTAGTAAGCAGAAGGCCTTCTACCACGGTTTGCACCGTAATAAAAAGAAGACTTTCTACCACAGTGCAAAACCATGGTAAAAAGTGTTATAAATAAAAACCCTATTGACGCCCTATGAGGCCTTTTTTTTTTTGCCCTAATACTAGCCTTGCAAGGACCCAAAAAGCAAACCCTATAAATAAAAAATAGCATCATAACCAAAATAACTTGCAACTGGCCAATAAAATCATATATATATATATATATATATAACCAATTCCAAATCATGATTTTATACAAAAATATATACAAATTTCAAAGAAGTACATGATCCACAAGCTTATATCTTTACTTAACCAAAATAAAACAAAAATTCTTCATATCTTCTTGCTTTGTTTTAGTCTCTCTCTTCCATATATGCAACTTCTTGATCATGAGCCATACAAAAAATATAATGGCAACAAAAAAAGTAATGGGAACAGCAATCCCGCAATCATAGCTTTGACCTATAAAAAGTAATATTTGAAGTAAGAGAATGTAAAGTAAGTTGTAAAGTAACCAAATTGTAAAGTTGCCAAAATTATATGAGGAATGAAGAAAGAAATCGCTTAATATGTACAATACATTCCCCCCTCCCCACACCCCAGATTTACTACCCTTTCTTTAAACACAAACAAAATCAAAATCCTCACTTCCTATCTCTTGTATTATTGAAACAAGAATTGGTAGCACATCTCCTAACAAGGGGCTTGTCAACATGATGCCTTGCCAGTTGACACAACCCAAATTAAGTATATCAGTCAAACACAAAATAAACAAATGAAGCAATTACAAGACAACAATTTTCACATTGCAATGAACTACAAAAAATGGGGTTGTAATACATCTCTATTCCTCATCCATGATTGACAAGGAAAACATCGAGTCCTCTACTAGGCAAGGGGTCTAAGACCATTAAAACCTCAGTACGAGGTCGCCCTACAAGTACTAACTTACGAACTTTTAGAGAAACTTGAGAACTCTTTGTTAATTTTTTTGAAATGAAATTTTAATTTAAACCAAAAAATAGTTAAAATTTTCATCTGGTTGACTGTTATTTTGAAATTATAATATGAAAAACAGAGTTGAAAGACTCCATTCCAAAGAACATATATAATACAGTATAATAGATATACCTTGTAATCTGCTTTGACAAATAATCCAAGAACACAGTTCAGGAGTATATATGCCCCGGCTGTGGGAAAAGGTTTCTGTTGTTGCTTGTGATGCTGTTAGTTCTATATAGGGGTCCATTCATTAGTTTCTGTTGCATGTTCATTGCTGAACTGAGTAGGATAAAAAATGTTGTCTTGCACGACTCATGATTTTCAAGAGAAGCTTCTGGTAGTTATTTGTACATTAACTCAAGTATTCCATTCCTGTTCTTTTTTGGGATACTGAATTACACTGATTTTTAACTTGATGCTACTCGAGAACCTTCCCCAGTGATTGTATATTATTTGTTCTACATGAATTCTTTTTCCCTTTTATGAGGTGACAATACTGAATGGGTGCAGGAACAGCTCAAACCATTAATAGATCAACTCACAAGAATGACAATACTGAATATATTTTCTTCACTCAATACACTCTTTCAGATTTTCAGTTCTCACCAAATTGGCATAGGACCTCTCAGGCAGAACACAACTAGATTTTCTCTACTTCTTTCTTTTCTATAATAAAAAAACCAAAGGGTTTTATGTCATGTTGAGGAGTTCGGATCCTCAGCTGTAGCGCCCATGCAATAAGGCGCTATAGGGATTTTCAACACACTTAAATCGTGTTTCAACACATTTGTTCAAGGAGAGTAGAATACATACCAGTGTGGCTCTTCCCATGGAGGCTTGATCCAGAGCATTTTGGACAATGGTTTCTGATTCAGAGTCAAGTGCACTTGTTGCTTCATCAAGTAGTAGAACCACAGGGTTCTTAATGATAGCTCTAGCAATGGCAATCCGCTGCTTTTGTCCAACTGATAAAAGAGCCCCTCTTTCACCCACCTGTTACATTTGATCACATCAGTACTTTATATTCTGAATAGGATCACCAGTAAATTGAAGAAACAATATTGCTTTAACTTCATCATTCTTATTGAAACAAAATTACTAGGCAGGTTAAATGATCAACACACACTTGAACCTACCTTAGTCTTCACCATCGATTTCACAGGTTAAATGATCAACACACACTTGAACCTACCTTAGTCTTCACCATTGATTTCAGGAATCCGGTCAATCCTATCAAATATTCGCAAGGCAGCAACTGAAGCTTTTGTAAAGTACTTGACATCAGGTAGTGCCATTCCCAGTGATCTGCATTAAATTCAGCAAATTTCATGATCAGGAAGATGACAGCAATGTTGCTGAAATCAACTCAATATTTCACTCTTAGTGTTCAAAGGATTTTTATTTATTTTTAATCAATCCAATGCTCCACAATCAAACTGTGAGTAGTTTCAATTGATGTAATAGTTTGGTCTGCACCATCTGGACATGCAGTTACGTGACTATAAATTGAATTTGAATGAGACTAAAATAAGAAAGAGGAAGAGGCTCATTTAGGTTAAGACCTTAAAAGTCAAGGAGGAAATCAAAATTTATCAAAGGTGTATCAAGGAAAAAGGCAGAAAAGGGTATCAAAGAAATTATGAGGAAACTTGGATTCGCCATGATAAAATTACAAAAAAGTAGGGGCATGAGTCCAAAATTTGTAATTTTAGATGCACAAGATGAAGAATCCTCATCATTCACAAAGGATTGCTTGTTAAAAAAATAAAAATGAAAAGAATTAAGCATATATTTTTCAGGAAAATGAGTCACATTAGTTATTTTCTTCCTACGTGAATGTTCAACAAGAATTACAAAATACTAATCATATGAAAAAGGAATTGAAAGACAGCTCACATGACAAATAACAGCTAAGTAGAAGTCTCTTGAAAAGTTAAGCATGGTGATGTGCAAAAGAGATGAAGGAAAACAAAATGAGCTAAAAAATTGTTTATTTGATATTTTCCTTTTTTATAGTTCCTCTAAGTGTTAGACAGTTGCTGCATAAATTTTTTTTTTTTTTTGATAGTGACAAATGTATACTTATTGAGAAGAATCAGGAAAAAAAAGAAGAAGTTACAAATAAAGTTTTCCCTCTTATGTTATTGCATGAGAAATTTGCATTTGATTATGAGAGGAATGATGAATTTTATCTTTTTATATTCAACAGGTATCTGAGTTATAAAAGCTTAAGTTTTATTTTTATTTTTATTGAAGCTTAACTTCATGGCAAAGAAATTTGCAAGAACAAGAGGAATTATAGTAGTTCTTGCAATCTTAGGATATAAAAATACAGCAAAAACAGTGAAGCATAATCAATTTTTTTAAAGGGGAGTATAATAGTATTGAAGATTAATTATGAACATTTATAAGTCTTATATTTTAAGTGAGGGTGAAAAGTAGACACTTGTTATTTTTAGTAAAATCTAGCTTCATATATGCACGATCTTAAGATTCTCTTCTCTTTATATATGCTAGTATGAAAAGGGGCCATCCCTTGTCTTCTGTAAACAACCAAGACCAAAGCAAAAATCCTCTGTGTAAATCACCCTTTATATATATATTTGCTTTATTACTAAATTGCTTTGTTGCCCAACAAACATATAAAACAACTAGCCTTTTATAGATTGAAGGTAGCTAAAAAGCTTATGGAATCCAACTACAATGATTATAGAAATTGTAGAGAATGTGTTTTGATCATTAACATGAGGGGTAGCCTTTTATGGTACATGAACTATTAGCTGGACTAGAAATGACGACTTCACCATGTGTTGACTAGTGACATGGTGGACCGTTTTAAAGACTCGTTATTTTCGGCTGCACAAAATTGGAGTCTTGGAATTAACAGAATTGGAGTAAAGCAACTCACAAAATTGAACTAAATTTTCATCCAATTCCACCAATTTCAATTTCAAGTCCTTTTTCAATCCAACGGTGTAAGAATCACCAAAATGAAAGACCACAGTTGCTTAATTACTAGTAAGAGAATTTCCAAGCCACCAAATATATATATATATATATATATGGTGAGCTAATTAGGAAAAAAACTTGAAGGTAGCAACTATTGGGACTTGTCCTAGTCATTGGTTATATATATTAGAACACAATGTTTTGAATAGTCATTTGATACTTCTAGTTATATTCATTCATTTGGATAATTTTGCTATAATATTTCCAACTTTAATTTGAATTTATAAGAAATCAGTAATGATCAAAGTACCATAAAAGAAAATTATGAAATTAAGGTAAAAATTGATGAGAAGAAATCACATACAGTCCACCCAATACGAAGGAAAGTCCGGCTGCATAAACTCTTCCTCCACTCTCTCCGTGGTACATAATCAACCGGCTTCCATACCAAGCAAGGAAAGCCCATATTGCAAAAGCAAGCCCTGTACTCCCCACAGCAAGTCCTTTTGCAATTCCTTGCTTGATTCCCAGCTTTGTTGTTCGATCCAATATTGTCGAATACCTCTCAATGATATTCTTTTCAGCAGTGAATGAATACACAGTTTTGATGGAGCGAAGAGCCTGCTCTATTATGGTGTTTGCTTTGCCGTATTCGCTGAAGGACTTCTCGGACAGATACAGAAGGTATTTGCCATATATCATCCCAGGAATGATTAATTGAAGTAAAGTTGGGAAAGCTACTATGGACAGCCTCCATGAAAAGTAGGTGGAAAATCCAAGTCCTGAGATGAACACTGATGTGTGCATCAAAAATATTGGTACCTGTCATGAAATTAAACTAGCTCAATATATCACAAATAAATAAGTAGATTTGATTTTGAGATGGCAAAAAACATGTTGAGAAATTAAGTTTGTCTATTCATTCCTTTTTCCTTTCTTTTGGGTATTTGAGAGGTAATATATGTATGAGTGAAGCTAGGTTAGTTTCAAATTGAGAACGAGATATATATATATATATATATATATATATATATATACCTTCTCCTAGCTTATGTTTATGCTAAAGTCAACATTTCTTTTTCCAGGTCAGACAAGCCATCAAAAATTAAGAGGAAAAAAAAATATTTTCAATATATTTATTTCTAAACAAATTTGAAGGGGAAAAAAAAAGGTCTTTCGACATAAATTTGTGCTTATACTCACAGATTAGATAAAAGATTGCCGAAAGAAAAATGAACTAATTTATAAATAGATATAATATACTTTAGTATTTCAAAGAAACTGAAATTGCATAAAAACTATAAGAATTACAGACCTTGATTAATTGATTTAGAAAAAAAAAAAAAAAAAAAAAACCATATATACAAGTTAGCAGTTGCAGAGAGAGGGCTTGAGAGTTGAGAGACAGAGGGCCAGAGGCTGAAGCCTGCGAACGGCGAACCCAATCGAACTGGAACAGCGGGATTTGGAAACTGAAGGATATGGGTTCTGATTTTTTGAACAATCTGAAATGATATGCCAATATGGGTTCTGATTCTTGTAGATTTTGTAGTTTGCAGTTGCAGAGACAGAGAGAGGGCAAGTTCAGAGTTGAGAACGAGAATACAGATGGAGGCGATTTGGGAGGCTGAAATGATGAGAACGAGAATCGAGACGGAGGCGATTTGGGAGGCTGAAATGATTTGCCCTAATTGTATGCGTGTGTGGTCTGTATGTGTGCGACTATATATATTTTTGTATATAAAATATATATATATTTTAAAAAACTAGCGGGAATAAGACCCTTACCTAGCGTGAAACTAAATTCACTTTCTTACCATCAGTGTATTTCATTAAAATCGTGTAAAAGATTCTTTATACCACGGTTAATAAAAAACCGTACTAATAACTATATTTTTTTACTACGGATCCTTTCTACCATGATTTTAAAATAACCGTGGTAAGAAATGCGTGATAAAAAATTATTTTTCTTGTAGTGCGGTTTCAAGAATTGAATTCGCGAATTCAAAAAACGAGTTCGCGAATTCAGAAAAACGAATTCGCGAATTTTGCACGATTTCGCTCCCAATTCGCCGATCCGCATGCAGAGCTTGGAAGCATGACCCTCAGACGCGAATTGTGTGACTAAGTTTCTATGTTATATCCTATTCGTATTTTTACAGGAATAGAATTGGTTTTAAGGATAATACTTCTTTTTTTTTTCCCCCCTAAATAATCTTATATTGTTACTTTTAATCATAGCAAGCAATAATAGTGTGCAACCTGTCGCACCCTAATTTTTCCTACAACATTCTGGATCGAATGGTCTGGTGAATATTTGTGTAAAAGAATATATTTTTGAGAAAATAAGCAAAAATGTGAATAGGGCATGAAGAATGAAGTTGTTGCCTAACATCGAGTTTTGGTGTGTTTTGTCATCTAAAATCACTACAAGAATTTTAGTTATTAGGGACAAAAAAAATCGCCCCTAAAAGTACTAAAATTGTCCCTATTACCTTTTAGGAACGGTTAATGTCACTGTCTCAATTAATTGTGTCCCAAAATGATTTTAGAGACGAACTAATTGGGACAGAATAAAATTTGTCCCAAATACTTATTTGGGACAGAAGATTCGCCTCTGTCCCAATTAAGTATTTGGGACTTCTATCGGATGATTGTCTGTCCCAATTAAGTATTTGGGACACAATTCTTTGTGTCCCTAATTTTATTATTATTATTATTATTATTATTATTATTTAATGGTGGTATGCCGGGCTAGTATTTCAGTAGTCTAAATTTCTTTTTGTTTGCCTACTATATCTTATATATCCATAGCTCATTCATTAAAACTATAAAGAAGGTAAATGTAAAGTAAAAATTAATACAAAAAAGTTAAATTTAATAACCATTAATTAAAAACAAAGTGATATCAATTATGGTCATATCAGTACCTAATAGCATAATATGTAAATATCAATAACATAGTTGGAATCATTCATCATTCATCATTTGTTGGTGATGTGTACGGACCAAACGGGCCAAACATCAGTGGTTGCAGATTATTTAATAGGTTGCCAAAAGGTCCATAAGGAGGCTGCTGTTGCTACTATGAGCTGCTGCTGCTGTGAGATGCCAAGTGCAGGACGATATCCGCCGAATGGTGTGAACATGAATTGAGGAGAAGACACTCTTTGATTCTCCAAGATACCTTTCACAGTTACCTTCAATTCATTTACGGACTCCAACAATTCATCATATTTTTGTTCCGCTCTATTAGACTTCCTCCTTTCAGCCTCCAACTTTGCCTCCCATTCTGCATTTGTCTTCCTCTTACGACTTGAGGATGCTGAAGCCTTCTTTCCATAACTGAAGCCACGAAAATATGTACCATTTCCTATTCCAAGACAGTTATCCAAAATCTGCTCATCCACCGGGACTGAACTACTAGTATCCACATAAACAGATGGATCTAATGATTGGGCCACCATTTTGTCCTGCATTTTGCAAAATAAATTTAGTAAATTAAATGAACAATTATCAGCCATCTCCAAACACATCATACTACAATTATTAACAAAGCACTCTACTTTAAATTTTCACCACTCATCCACCTACACATCATACTAATAATGTTTCGTCAATTTTCATTTCTACAGTCTCAACACAGATAAAAAACCAAACCATTCGGTGAAATGAAACATAAAACCAAACACAGATAGATAAATTGCAAAGAGAGAAGAGTGGTTTTAGTGTGAAAATTAAAAGAGAAAGTTAGGAACAGAATTGGGGCTTTTTAACTTTCTAGAACAGTTATTAATTGTCTTCAATTATTTGTGTGAAGCAACTTAAAAATATTGTCTCCTCTAGTTCTCCATTCTCTTCACCAACATTTGGAGATTAAAACAGATAAAATGAAAAGAGGGATTTGCTTAGCCTTAATTTAAAGTTGCTGTTAACTAATTCCTCAATAAAGTTCCATAATTAGCATTCAATCCAAGAGGATTTTATTGCGTCTGGTCCCCTCTGGGGTACCAAAACTCCACCTAACATCACGACTAACTTTTTCACCATGCCTACAGGAAGAAACATCACTACCAAAACCACGTTCTCCGACATACACATGTCATTCTTCAATTTTGCTAATAAAAAATAAAATGTCTGTTTGCTTCTATTATTGCATGAAAACATCTTCTTAATTAGCAAATTTCTATTAATTGAGTATCATGGAGTACTTATGAAGTATATATATATAGTTGAAAGCTAGGGAATTTTCTCTTATCCCTGAAAAAATCTTTGGTAAAGAAATGAAATCGCAAGTCACAAATTTCATTATAACACAAAGCATAACTATGTTGCATAATTATGAATGTCAAAGGGAATTTGGGGGGGAAACAATAATCCTTATAGAAGTTTTGTCAAACGTGCTGAATCCTACACCAATAACAATGACTAGAAGGCCCTGTCAGAAAAGATAGTCACTACATGTTAGTAAGAATACATGAGAGAACAACACAGTTCCATTGGTTTCATTTTTATAAACAAATTTAACTACATCGGACGTACCAAGATATACAGACAAGAAACATAAATGCTGGAAATGAGATTAATCTAGATCAAGAATAAGCGCCTCTCTTGTGTAATCTTACAGTCCTACGAGTTGTGAATCTTGCACTGCTCTGTACAAATCAGTAGGAACAATGGGCTTATATGCACAGAGAAGCAACCAAATCATAACATAACGACTAATTGATTTATGGAGTGCATCATTAGTTGGACAAGATATCACCAATATACATATAAAATATACAACCAGAACAATCATTATGCGCATAGCCATCTAACGGTGGAGATACAATGGTTGTGTTTAGTATGTTGAAAGACTGCGGAAGAGAATGCTGGGGGAGTTTTTTTTTTTTTTTTCCATAAATTTAGTGAACTTAAAATTTCCATGCCTTCTCCTTCAAAAGTTCATTTAAGAATCTGTCTACACGAATACATGAAAAAAATTACGCTCATGCTTTTCAAGGGATTGAATACCTCCGAATCAAAAGACAATTATAAAATCAACTTGATACCCACTGAACAATTCCAATGTAAATCAGTTTTTCAATTTATCAACATGGATTCCAATTTTTTGTCTTTTCTTCATTTGAGGTCATTAATATTTCAACATGTTGATTTCAAATTTCAATTTCGGGATGTTAAACATAGCTCACCTACGTATATGGATTCAATTGCTATTGCTTGTATAAAAATTGAAAAAGAAAAAAAAATTAAAAATAGATAAGGTACTAAAACACATACCTAATATATATATATATATATATATATATATATATATACATGCCTCTGAAAATTGGGTGAAATTTATCAAAAGTGTGGAGGCCATTGAAGAAATTATGCACACAATAACCGTAAGATTGATTGTGAAAACTTACGGATAATTGTCGATTTCAATCATTGATCGAGAGAGAGAGAGAGCTCTGATTGACACGAGAGAGATTAGAAGCAGTAAAAAAGCAGACCTTCCAAATTCAATCGATCCTCCTCACTATGCTTCTACAAAGCAATTCCTTCTTAGCCCTGGTTATTTGTATGTGTATCGCTTCACGCTGAGAAGAGTGTGGCAAGCTGAACCGGTATGAAGTAGCTGCAACTGGTACGGCACCGTCGGCTGTACAGAGAGAGTATATGAGTGAGAGAGATGAGAATGAGAAGCCAAACTGGCTGTTGTGAGATAGTTGCAACTAGTGTGGCGTCGGCTGTACAGAGAGTAGATAGAAGATATATGTTACTACCTCTGTCCTAAAAAAAGTGTCATGTTTCGGGAACCATGAGAGTTCAATTTGTAAGAGTCACGCTTTCCTAAAAGTGATACTTTTTATGGGACAGAGGGAGTATTAGGTTAAGTTGTATAGTGAGAGATATGAGAATGAGAATAGAGAGAAAGTGGGTTTACAACTTTACAATACCCAAAACAGTGTAGTATGGAATTTTTTTAATATTTTGTACATGGAAATTTGGAATTAGGGAGGGAGGAAAATCAAGCATCAAATTTTCCCAAAGGAAAATGATACTTACATCGAAGTAATACACCGATTTGTCTCACAAAATCTATATGTCTGCTTAAATGGATATCTACGTCAGAAGTCAAAATAGTAACTCTAAATTATTTCTCTCTTCCATTTTTCTCTCTCCTCACTTTTCTTCCCTGCAAATCAGTAAATCAGTTTCTCTCTCTTCTTTCCCATCTTTACCATTATTAATCTCTTTTGCATCAGGCATCTCAACCATGAACGCCCACCTTACCATCTTGCTAACCACTAGCGGCAATCTAATCCATTATATGAAAGATATAATATCCATATATGTGGTATATTTATGAATTTATAACAAAAAATTGCATATCGCGAACTGATATTTTTCTTGATTGATGTAGATAATTATTTAAAATTTAATTTTAAAGAAAAATTGCAGGGACGCCGAATTTCCCTTTGATTTCCAAAAAGATGCCAGGGTTTAAGACCCTAATTTTTAAAAAAGATTACTTACAATTTAAGTACGAACTATATATATATATATATATATATATATATATATAAAGAGGTTTAATTTGTGATATTTTTGAAGTTAAATTTGTAGGGTTATGAGCAGTGGTGGTTGCCGTGCTTGGATGACCGATGGTTGTTCGTATTTTGGGAGAGACAACCCACGTGTGTTCAGTAATTGTTT